GTGCACCAACGAAGTGAACGCTTGGGAAAGATTTCGCGTTGATGCGAGGTTGTAGCTTACCGTCGTGGTATAAGACGATCTTTTGTAACATATATATAGAATAATATATATTAATTATATATATATATGATATATATATTATTTTTATATATCTCTACTAGAGACCCTATGCAATATTCCACCATTGAACGTTTCCCAAATAAATTGAGACGTCGACTTGATTAATTCGAGGTAGTTGACTCTACCAGCCGCCGGCATAGCTTCTGACGTTGGTATTAGCCCTCCTCCCAATTTTTTGTAATCATTCAGAGGTTCTATTGTTTTTGACCATCACGGCTGCCGGGCGGAGTGTTCCGGAGTACTTTTTGACGGTGGTTGAAGGGTCATTTTGTGAATCTCTAGACCTTTCTTGGCACCTCTTACCCGCGTGTTTTTCCCAATGTCCCCCCCCTCACAATACCGTCACGATTTCCCCGGTGTCGGGCTGCGCGTTTCTCCTGCGTTCGCAGATGGAGTGCCGTTTTGTGCGATACGTAGAGACATTACATTGTTTTTTTCTGCTATTTAATTCGCACCCAAGTGTTGAATTTCCCTAGTTCATAACGTTCGTGAAGGCGGATGGTTTTGTATTTTTAAGTTTTTCCTGCACCTGCACAGGGGCCGTCTCGGCCACGCGAATTACATGGTCTCCCAATGGACGTTGAGGAAGGCGTTCCCGGGTTAGAGTCGAGCCCCGGAGGCCGGATGTCACCTCGAGGCGAGTGATCCCGGCCATGTGGCGCCCGAATGTGGCGCCCGATTGTGGGCGATGTGGGCCGATGTGGCGCCGATGTGGCGCCCCCGAATGGGCGCCCCGATGTGACGCCGAAGTGTGGCGCCCCGTTGTGGGCGATGTGGCGGCCCGATTGTGGCGCCCCCCCGTGTTGGCGTCAGTCCAGTCGAGGTCGGAGCGAGGTCGGGGGTCCGAGTCCGGAGACGATCGAGGGAGGAAAATTGCCCGGGCGGTTTCTCCCGAGCCCCGATTGCTTAGCTTCCCTTTCGCCTGCATGGGATATGGGGCGCCTTTCCGCCCAACCGCGGAACTATTCTCCCCGCTTGGCCGCGCTTGGCTGGCGGCGGCTTTGGCGCGGGGCCGGGGGTTTACGCCCCGTGGTGGTGGGCCCTTTTTGCCCAGGGCGATCAGCGAGGTTGCTGAGTTGGTTGTGGTGGGGGCGCTAGAGGGGAGCCCTGTTGGTGGGTTCGGCGGGGGCATGTTATGGCTTTGAATCTGTGGGGCGTAGACACGAATTTTCGTTCGGTACGTCGAGTGGAAGGGGAGTGAGTCCGTCACGTCCTTCCGAGGTATGTGGCACGATGTGTTTCATCTAATCCGGTTACGTCCTTACAATGTGCACGAAGTCGCTTGTATGAGAAATCTTTCGTGCGTATTAACGCCTCAATTTTAATTTACATAATTTCGAGGTTCTATTCGATTTTGACCATCAACGCATGCCACGGAGCGGAGGTGTTCCGAAGAGCTACATTTTCTGAACACAGGATGGTTGAAAAGGGTCACATTTTGTAGAATACTTCTAAAAGAAACCTTTTTTGAGCACCTCTTACCTCCGCGTGTTTTCCCGAATGTCCCCCCTCACAATACCGTCACGATTTCGGTGTTCGCCGCGAGTTTCTCCCATGTTCGCAGCATGAGAGTGCCGTTTTGTGCGATACAGTAGAGGACAATTACATTGTTTTTTTCTACGCTAAATTCATCTCGCACCCACACACAGAATGCTTGAATTTCCCCCTAGTTCATAACGTTAGTGAAGGCGGAAATGGCGTATTTTTAAAGTTTTCTCCTGCACCTGCACAGGGAGCCGTCTCCAGCCACGCTGACTTACATGGTCTCAATGGACGTCAATGAGCAGAAGAGCGTTCCCGGGTTAGAGGTTGAGCCGGAGCCCGATGTCGACCTCGAGGACGAGCTCCAGATCGAGCCCGATGTGGCGCCCGATGTGGCGCCCGATGTGGCGCCCGATGTGGCGCCCGATGTGGCGCCCGATGTGGCGCTCCAGCTCCATGTCGAGGTCGAGCCAGAGGTCGGGGTCGAGCTCGGAGACGAATCCGAGGACGAGCCCGGCGAGTTTCTCCGGCCATTGCTAGCTTCCCTTTCGCTGATGGATATGGCGCCTTTCCCGCCCAACGCGAACTATCTCCCCCGGCTGCCGCGGCTGCTGCCGGCGCTGCGCGGGCCAGGGCCGCCGTACGCCGTGTGGATGGGCCTTTTGCAGGCGCGGCTCAACGAGGTGCTGAGCTTGGTTGTGTCGGCGAGCGGCATAGAGGGCGAGCCTGTGGTGGGTCGCGCCTATTACTGCGGCTTGATCTTGCCGGCGAGCGTAGACACGAAAACTTTCGTCGCCTACGTCGAGTGGGAAGGGGAAGTGAGTCCGTTCAACGTCTTCGAGGTATGTGCAACAAGAATGTGTTTCACTCTCAATCGGTTAACGTGCTTAACAAATCCGAATGACCACGAATCGACTTCCTAGTATGAGAATTCGAAGACAGTCGATTAAGGTACAAAATGTGCTGCCAATTTGACTCGCTTCACTCTAATTCGTGAAGAAACCAATGTTAGAAATTGCCATTTTTCTATCTTGAGACATATCCAAGGTTTGAATTTTCCAACAGTGCGAAAATGAAACCGGCTATCTCAGGCTAGGACAAATTATTCAAATTACACATAATGTTACGAATTGCCCCTATCTGTTTGCTTAATTAGTAGGTACTCTCAGTATGTAAGGAGGCTATTCTTTGTCCCAGTTACCCATCCAGAACGCAAATGAGATAAACCATTAGGCTAATATTTTAATAGGAGTTTTAATAGGACAGTTTTTGGCAAATTCGGGAACAGAGGGCTGCTCTCGTTCATTTTTGTATACTACATTATTCCTTTGATGTCATGTTCTAGCCATCTGTAGGTCTGGGTAGTCTAATTTAGTGAAACTCGTGGTAGAGTACAAATGTCCTACGGCTCTGTACCTCCTGATTTTGTAAACGCAGAATGAATCTGATGGGGAGAAGAACTAGAGTAATCTTGCTTCGGAAAAGAAAAAATTATTTTCACAATTTATTGTACGAAAAAACAACAACAAAAAACGCTATGTGACTGTGTGTGATGTGCTATTGGAAACCATTGATCTTATGATATGTACACCCTGAAATTTACTTACAAGTCTCTATCCGACTGGAAGAAGAAATAGGAAGCAACAAAAGGTCCACAGTAAAAATACTTTTTGGTTCAGAAACAAGTACATTTATGAGTTCTAAAATGAAACTTATCAATATGACTTATTAATATAAATCGGAGTCGGGTTAATTCAAAGGTGAATTATTCAAATTATTCGGACGTGTTATGCATCAATTGACCAAACGCCGAAACTTCATTTCGAGATGTGAACACAAACAGGAAAGTATTAATATAAACTCAGCATCCGCCCCAATTTTTGTTTTGTATACGGCAATATAATAAAAATGCAGTAAGTTTACATGCTCATATCTTAAAAGCATGAAAAATGCAATGAAACTCAGCATTTATGTCGAATTGCGCTTTGTCCTTTGGTTCTTGATTACATTTTTATAATTAATATCCATGTTTTGCATTATCTGACTCCTAACCAAAACACGTGTTGGTCAAATAATGCTAATGCACAATATTAAATGACTTGTCTTAAGAGTGTTGTCTCGATTACCTTCAGCCAGTTTCTTTTCTCGTATCGGGAACTGATTTCGTGATTGCCTGTAAGAGGATTTTCTTTATCGATGTACTGTCATGACATTTCGTGTAATCTGGTGGTGTATAAAGTATCAACTGCAGTTTGAGAGAGCAAACTGATCCGAAATCGGTCATTCGGAAGAAAGCTGTGTCCCTATATAAAGAACCAATGTCTTAGTCTCAATGAAGTTTGCTGATCTAAATTTGCCTTTAGAATTAGAACCTTAAGTAATAGATAAAACACTTTAAATACAATTGGAGGAATAATTCTAATTTCATACACTCAATTCAAACCACGGGCGAGAACAAACCAATACTGCATCACCAGATCAAACGACAGTCATTTGTTGCATAGTCAACTGATGTGAGACAAAACCGTAATATTTTGGTAAGGTCAGTCAACTAAAACAAAATATAATTTATATGATTTTGGAAAGTTTGGCGCTTGGCCCAAATTAGCATCCCATCGACAAAAAACAAAATTCAATGCCAAATATTTTCTTTACTAGATTGTTAACACCTGAGCGCACAATCTGGTGCAAAATGCTAAAAGAAAAGCTAACAACAAGGCTTGGTCAATTGATGCATAACACCGTCCAATTCCTCCCGTCGATATCTGTAATATGTAATAAATCACGGGGACTCCTTGCGAATTCTAGCTCTTGCAGTTACGCAGGTTAAACGTTAGAAGAGTTGTTGTTTTGTTTTTGCGAGTAACGGTGTGGTAACTATGAGGATGACACGATATGATGACAGGGGGTGAAAGGACGAACACAATACAACCATGCTAGAGGCGGGAATACGGTCCGCGGTCGCTACAGCACTACTGCCATCCGGACCGGCGTTAGAAATTTTTTTTTTCCATATATTGAAAAGAAAATGGCCCAAAACATTCTTCGGAGGGGGATGACCGTGCCTGTCCTTCAGCGTAATCCCGTGTCCACGCAGGTGCTGATCGTGCTTCGCGGGACTGTTGAGTGGATGGTGGCGCGGGACGGCGACGTGCCGGCGCAAGCCTTGCCTGTGGGGCTGGGGCTGGATGGGGAGACCGTGTACGTGGCGCGGGTATTCCGCTCCGGCCACTGGCGCTTAGGCAGAGTGAGTAAGACGCGACCTTGGCGGCGGAAAGGACACCGCTGATTTTGGGGCGATTGTCCCGAAGATTTAGATTTTCATATTTTGTATTATTGAATCAATATCTTAGTAGGCATTGTTCGATGATGATGATGATGATGATGATGATAATTGAAAGGTTCGGATGTAGATACGCAAACGCTTTTGAGAAATAAACAAGTGACAATTTTGCTCAGAAGGATCTAAATTGATTGCACAAAAATAACAACTTTTCACCTTCTATGATCCACATATAAAATTAGTTCATCTGGCAAAACTTTTGCGCATTGTACAGTAGAAACGACACTTAGTAACCGGAGTGGTTTTATTTATTTAACGTCATAAACTTGTGTGACAAGTCCTTACCGGAGATGTTCTCGTTTTCTTAAAGCCTGCGATATCTATACTTACCCTTATAACAGTCTAACTATTAATACAGATGGAAAATAGCGTTGTTACGGTAGTAGAATTGATAAACAAATTTATTAATTCTTGTTTATTAGAATATAATTGTTTTAGATTGAATGTGTCAAATTTGTACTCTAAACGTAGCAGTTGTATATTTTTGAGAACAATGAACATCATATTTACAGTTTTAAAGTGTTGATTGTATGATTAAACCTGTATAAAGTGAAGGCCAATAGTAAATGTTAAGAAAGAAGTACTCACTGTGTGCACGTGTTTCCTGTGTCGTAGGTGATGCCAAGCGAAGGCGCGTGTATGGTGGTGGAAGAGGGTACGGATCTCTCGTTCAGCGAGTATGAAGTGCTGGTTATTAATTGCTCATAACAAACGGGCCCCGGAGACTGATAGACGGTTCTGGGCAATGACAGCTACCAGGACGACGCAACAAATACGGAAGGAGTAACCTTAGGGAAATTCATTTCGAACATAAAATTCGAAACGTCGTAATGTTGTATAATGGAAAAAGTTGGTGTGAAATAGTTAATCAAACTGGCTTTCGAGAGTAAATTTTAAAAGGAATACCATTGCAATAAATGGTACATTACAACTTTACATATAAAGTCTTGGTACAGTAAAAAAACTTATTGTAATCCTTAACTGTTGTGATATATTTGTATTGGTTATCTTTCACGAATATAAACATTGTCAAAACATGGAAATAGATGGAGGGTAACACATCTATGGAGAAATATTATTATTCTTAATGATTTTTAAAACTAGAGAAAAATGACACCTGTGACGTGGGCATTGTAACGTATAGGGAGGAGTATAATTTGGATTTGTAGTATCTATTCCAATTAGCATTTGCTTTTCGGCTTCAGATATTTTATATCTGAATAATTTCATTTTCTCAATGAATTTCACTGAAAAGAACGACAACTTTTATTTGTTTTCAAAACATATTATTTGGGAAATTTTTCAAGAAAACCAAATAGACAACATTAGTTTCTATTACGAGATAGCTCCTGGGTAATCCCCCCTCCCATTTTGGAGTACGTTCGACCGTTGGGGATAATGTACAGAGTGAAATCATTTATATGTGGTCAATTAGTAAAATGAACATAAAGCATATTTCACCAGTTTAAAATATATATGACCAGGCCTATATGCTGCGAAAGTATGATACCTTCAAATATTTAAAAATGTCTACGATTACCACCAAATGATACTGAGGCAATTTTTCTATCTCAAACCTAATAAATTTGTAGATATATTGCTTAAATAAAGAAATACGAGAATAATAAGAACAATTATTAAAATTCAAGATGTGTCGAAGGCGTCGAAGGCGTCGAAGACTCGCGTATTGAATGTAGGGGTTCAAAACATATTTAGGTAATGCATACTTACTACTTAAATATAGACTTTGATAATGATGAAGAGTCCAATTTCATGTATATATTCATATACTCTGGGGTAGCTAAAAGTGAATATTAAAAAAAAAATATTTGAAAAGAGGCACTCTAAAATACACTCTTCAATTTACGAATATACTAACAATTAAAGAAAATGTTATTTATAATGTGCATTGTACAGTGTTATTTAAAGTGAATAAACTCTTATTCTGTTCATGATGATATAAACAATATTTGTAAAATTACAGGTAAAAAATATACATACACATGTATAACAGCTTACATGTCACAAGTGTTTTATCAGTAATGTTAGGTTAAGTTTTAAATAACCACCTGATAACAAATAGAAAATCTCAAAATATTGAAATAAAAATTGAAGGATATTTAATTGAGCACTTGACTTATTTCGCGTTCATGTTTTGAGGATACTATGTAAGTTTCATGGCTTAGTTTGTATATTGTGTTCTATAATGTTTGTATTTCCATTATGTTCTGTCATATTGCAATAGTTCATGTGACACATCATTCAATAAACTTGAAACCTTTCTTAGGCTCTAGAATACCTACCTCTCTTTCGCCATACTTCATGTATATTTGAGCCCTAAAACTCTCTACATTAAATAACACAGCAGACCGGCCTTCTGCCGCTAGCGAGGTGTAAAACAGGACTCGAAACGACATCTAAGAACTTAGACAAGGCTCGTTTGGAGTTTCTTGCGTTTCTTTGAATGTTTTCCAGTATGACTTTTTTAATACGTGTTCTTCCTCGTCTCAGATCAGGTTTGTTTGTCATATTTTTTTATTAAAATCGCCATTTGTGATTTTATTGCATTTAAACAGTTATTGTTGTTTTGTATGTTGTAATTAAATTTGTAATTCTAATTTTAAATCTTGCTTTGCTTTCGCATTGCTATTTCAAATTTTTAGAAGCTACGAGAAAAGAAAGTGTTAATGGTTATTATTGCTCGCTATCACCTTCCAACGCTTTCCGCAACCGGTCGCTTCTGGTTGAGTGCTGGCGGCCGATCGGGTGCGGTGACCCCTCACGGTAGCTCCCTTCATCACGCGCGCTGCCACCTCCAAAATCCTTCCCTTCCACGACTTTCTCTGTCCCGAATGAACGAGTCTGCTTATTCTTTCACAAATTCTGCCATTAACAATGTAGAGAAATAGAACTTCTGGCAAAAGTTATTAAAAAACGCAATAATGGAACTAAGATATTTTCCCTTCTAATTTCTGGGCTAGTCCCAACCTCCCTCCCTCCCTGCCTCCTTTAAGATAAGTAGAAGCACTACTCTTCTGAATATAATTATTTCCTGGCTCATTTAAATTCCATTATTTAAAGAACAATATTAACGAAAGTAATTAGACGAAACACCGTCAATAACTTATTTTCGTTAATATATTCCGATCTGTAATTTTTACGAGCTTTTACAAATGCGTAGTATCACTGTTAAAAATTAAAATTTCAATTATGTGTTTATTCGCACAGGTGAATTTAGTTCACACACTCTTTACAGATCTTCCCATTGTAACTTCCTAATTTCTCCTGATGCTGTATGATTTCAATGCTACTATTTTCACAGTAATTTATTTTGAATTAAAAGGAAATGACAGAAGCACAGTATAAATAAAAATATTTAATCTTTGTGAACTATTATTTTATTTTAATAATATACAAATCGCATATGTACTCATATTTATTATTCAAAGATATAACACGTCACGAATAGAAACTGCCAAACCGGCAGGGTAAAATATAATGGTTAAAGTGGTGTGTATACAGATAAAAATATTTAAATATGTAAACGTACTTGGAAGGGTGGTACCAAATCCACGCTGAATTATCGTCACACGTGCACGAGAGGTGCTCGTGTGGTAACTCAACCGAGAATTTTTTCATATTGTAATTAACAAGACGTTCGTAGCTGTAACTAGTAAAGAGGGCCGAATACTGATTTTTGAGAGCACTCTACCTGTAGCTTCAGGGGAATTTTCAATATTTTCTCAAAAATTAGTTCAAATATAAAAAATCTCTAATAGAGCACAATACGTTCAATAAATGGCATGGATTTTGTTCCACTGCAAATAACTCGAAAACTGTAAAAGTTTGAACATTTTTCGACTTCCTTATACAACTACATTCACGTCAAATTTGGCATCGGCCATTGGACTTCGGTAATTCTTACTTATAAGAATGAAAATTTGCATGCAGGCTATTCATGATATATAATGTTACGAGACTTTAATGCTAGGATTGTTAGCAAATACTAAAATAAACTAATTAGACTTTTCGAGAAGATAGGGTAAATAGCAGTAAAAGATTGATAGCCATTTGTGATCAAAATAGTTTGACAATACTAAATAAATTTTATCAACACAAAATTATTAATAAATACACGTGGCTTCGAGATTCTTTAAGATTATCATCTATAATATATTATATTATTATAAGACAAACTACAAAATTAAAGATTCAAGGTTGTAGAGCTTTCAGAAGTCCAAGTTGTGGATCAGACCATTATTTAGTTAATTCAAAGATATTGTTTCCTTTTATACATAAAAACTTTAAAACATCAAACTGCAAAAGTGTGTTGTATATAATGTTGAATATAATGTATATTGTGTTGAATATAATGTAAATTTATAAAAGTATTTTATACTTATACTAAAAAAGATTAGATGAAAAACTAACTGAAACTGAATTTGAGAATGTAGAAGACCAGTACATAGTAGATAATATTGATATTGCAACATAAGAAGCGTTAGGTGAAAAAGAAAAAACACAACATACATTTATATACTATGGGAGTGAACAAATTTTTAAAAAATGGTGTGGAGAAAGAAAGAATAATGTATCTCTTATGGCTAAACTCAAAGAATATGAAAGATAAAATTGATTAGAAAAGAACCCAAGGTAATGTAAAAATAGTCATAAATATCGAGGAAAATGAATATTGAAGATAAACATTTATTGATTTACAAAGTTACATAGAAGGAACAAAAAGTTCAGAGGCTTAAAAAAAGTTGAAAAATTTAAGAAAAAATGTAACTAACAAAATGTGATTAGAGGGAATTTTATTGCAAAAATGAAAACAATATTTTCAAAGTTGTTAGTTGAAAGAAGGAGTCAGTTATTAACAGCTGTAGATATATTTAAAGATTTTTCAGAATATTTTTTTAAAATTTAGATATGTCAACGTTAGAAAAATACATTACATTTAAAAAATGTAAATGTAACTGGTGAAGGAGGGATCAATGCATAATTAATAAAGTATGGAAAAAGAAGCTACGGGGAATTTTAAGAATTTATTTACTACGTTGAAATGGTTAAAATCCTTCTCAAGATTGAAAAAAATTTATCATTTCACTTGTTCTTACAAAAGGAAAAAGAAATGTATATACAAATTACAGGGGAATAATAGTGTTAAATGTATTTAGCCGTCTTTATGGAAGTACAATTATTTTAGAGGAAAATTATAAAAGAATAGAAAATGAATTTTAAGCAGGTTTTAGTGTGGACAGATGAACCATTGATCATATATTTGTAATAAAACAGCTAAAGAAAAAAAGAATCAAGCGGGATAATAATTTTTTTTTGTAAATTTAGAAAAGGAATATGATAGTAGTCCATTACAAAAATTATGGGAAATATCAAAAGAAATAAACATCAATGAAAACATTTTAATGGCAATAAAAACAGTATATGATGGTGCTATTTCCCGGGTTCAAAAATGCAGAAATCTCTCGGAATCAATTTCCATTACTAAAGGTGTGCTTCAAGAGTGCAACTTTATTTAAAATATACTTCCAAAAATCGCTATAAACATGGAAAAATAAAGTTTAAGGAATGAGAATTCCAATAGGCAATAAAAATAATATATAAACTTTTTTATTTGCTCATGAATAGGTAATAATAGCACAGAATGTTAAAAATGTAAAATACATGTTTAGAAACTCATTAGAAAAATAAAAGAAAGGGGGTGTGTAGGGGCTGTAGAGTACATAATACAGATTTAATTTTACATTATGGAAAAGGAAAAATTAAATTTTGTTGAGAATTTAAATATTTGGGAGTTGAAATAAGAATGGAAATCAAGAAGTTGATATAAGACATAGAATCAACAAAGGAAGGTTAACAACATCAATGTTAAATAAAATATTACGGGATAAACACATAACAACAGAAATTAAATTAGGGATATATTAATCTGATGTAGAAAGTGCTGTTTTATATGGAAATTTGGAAATTACAGAAAAATTTAAAACTAAAATTGCTGGCAATAGAAATGAATTTCGAATGAGGTCATCTAAAATATCAAAATTAGATCAAATAAAAAATTCAAAAATTAAAGCAAAAATGTATTAAGTACATAAAATTTTAAAAATTATTAAATATTTTTCATAAATTACAATGGTTTGGACATGTTAAAAAAATGAAAGAAAACAAAATTCCAAATAAGTTTAAAGTGGTTTCCTGTGGGTAGGAAGAAATAGTAAGATCTAAACATAGCTGGTTGAGAGAAATTAAATAACTTTTGAAAGACAAGAATTTAACAGACAAGGATTATGAAGATCGAGGTAATTGGAAAATAAAATTAAAATTATATATAAAGTATTCCAATTTTTATCTATATAAATAACAACATAAAATTTGCATCGCAATGGATAGTTATTTGGTAAATGTGATCATTGAGCGCGATGCTGAAACAGGTATTTTAGTGTGGACGAAAGGCCCCAGATTTTCCACAATCCACTGATAGCGCTTGGAGCGTGCGGCATATCGTAGCACCATGAAGAATAGAAAGGGCAGACTCAACCATGGTGGTGGGGGTATGAATGTAATGCTAATCGGCACCCCTGAAATTCGGCGACATCACGCGGAAAATGGGAGAACTTCTACGGTGTTTTCGGCCTTTGGACACCAAGCTCATGTACTCGTATCACGCGAACGCCATCTATACTTACACACTAAAGTTAAGATGGAATTGGTTAACAACACGTTTTCTCTTCATTAATATACGAAAAAGCGTGACAGTTTCCTTCATTCACCGCATGATGCCACTAAGGTGTGCCGATTGGCTACAGACGTTTTTCGTATCTCCACCTCCAATCATGCCGCCT